GGAGATAATAACAAGCACAAAAACAAGACAAAGTAAAAATAAGCAACAAAAGCAAACAAAACAACAACAAAAGCCAATGACAAAAAACAAAACATATCACAACAACAAAAGAGAAAAGCTTGCAGTAAGTTCAAGGACTGTTTGTTGGCCTTTAGGAGTGTTTTCCGGTCTAGTCTGATAGGGCGCCAAGCCCTGGCCCCAAAAGTGTCTATTTTTGGTATTCCCTGGGGACTTCAATGCTCTGTTCCTCTTGCTGTTCTGTCGCTCCCTTAGTGTTTTGCCTCGGTGTGGTGGGATCAGATCGGGCAGAATTCCCTCACTGTGTCTCCAGCGTTGTCCCCTGTAGGGATATGGGTCAGTGAGGGATGTCGTGTCTCATAGTGAGGCCGGCCACATGGTCTTCTCTGTGGTTTGGCTGCTCTGAGCAAGAACAGTGTCCTCAAGGTTCGGTGGGCTGGGATGTGCTCCACTCTCTCTTCCTCCCCCCTCATTTGCTCCCATGTGTTCTGATCAGACATATCCCTCTCCCTGAGCTAAAGCTTCAGTGCTGTCCTCTGAAGTAAATTTTTCTGGGGGGAGGGGCAGGTGTCCACGTAGTTGGGATTGGGGCCAGCCTCTCAGACCTCTCCACTGGTTGCCTACTCCATGCTTACATTTTTCTATTAAACTGCCATTCCATGATGCTCACCTTCCCGACACAATCTTTGAAGACAAAGCGGGTGCATAAGCAAATGTGGTGAAAAAAGCTGATGGAGCTCGGCTATCAAAAGATGTAGTGTCTAGGGTCTTAAAAACTTGAAGGTAAACAAGTGGCCATCTAGCTCTGAAGCAACAAAGGCCACATGGAAGAAGCACACCAGCCTGCGTGACCACGAGGTGAAGGGATCAGTTATCAGGAATCAAAGAACAAAAAAACATATCATTGTGTGCTCCCCTCCCAAATATGATCGCTGAAGACAAATGGGTGCATAAGCATATGTGGTGAAGAAAGCTGATGGTGCCCGGCTATCAAAAGATATAAGGTTTGTGATCTTAAAGCTTGAAGGTAAACAAGTGGCCATATAGCTCAGAAGCAACAAAGCCCACAAGGAGTAGAAGGGATGAGGTATCAGGCATCAAAGAACAAAAAATCATATAATTGTGAATGAGGGGGAGTGCTGAGTGGGGATCCAAAACTCATCGGTAGACAATTGGACATCCCCTTATGGAAGCAACCTGGGGAGGAGACGAGCCAGTCAGGATACAGTGTAGCAATGATGAAACATACAACTTTCATCTAGTTCCTAAATGCTTCCTCCGCACCCACTATCATGACCCCAATTCTATCTTAGAAATCTGGCTAGACCAGAGGATGTACACTGGTACAGATAGGAACTGGAAACACAGGGAATCCAGGACGGATGAGCCCTTCAGGACCAGTGGTGAGAGTGGCGATACCTGGAGGGTCAAGGGAGGGTGGGGTAGAAAGGCGGAACCTATTACAGGGATCTACATATAACCTCCTCCCTTGGTGACAGACAACAGAAAAGTGGGTGAAGGGAGGCATCGGACAGTGTAAGATATGACAAAATAATAATTTATAAATTATGAAGAGTTCATGAGGGAGGCAGGAGTGGGGAGGCAAGGGGGGAAATGAGGAGCTGATGTCAGGGGCTTAAATAGAGAGCAAATGTTTTGAGAATGATGAGGGTAATGGATGTACAAATGTTCTTTACACAACTGATGTATGTACGGATTGTGATAAGAATTGTATGATCCCCCAATAAAATGATTAAAAAGTTGTGCCATCACCAGAACAATACATTTTAGAAAATTTTAAACATTTTATTCTTTCTTTCTTTTTCTTTCTTGTACTAATGATTCAGTCCCAATTTGCCCCAACCTCCCCTGACATAA